CTTAGACAATTACAAAGTGTGATAATAGTAGAGTAAAATTTACCAAAAAATTGCACAATCATTGGTCGTGTATCAAGTTGAGAGTCTAATTGAACCTTTGCAAAATCAATTAATTTCAACATTGAAATATAAAATTCTTCGGAATAAGGTGGTCCACATGCAGTGATAACCTATAAAGAATCATATTAAAAAATTTAAGGATCGCTTTTTATAAATAAATAATTTAACTCTTTCAATAACATTTTATTCTCTTCATGACTATACTTGCCCTCTTGACAAAAATAGTAACCAGCTTTTCGTCTAATCTGCTAAGATTTTTCTCTACATACGTCATTACTTGCATTACAAATCCAATTTGAACGAGGTAAGCCATACGTTCCATTAACTGTCTCCGAAGCGCCGTCTGTTAAAAATCACGTTAGTTTGTGCAATCTGATGCATGTATCTTAAATAATTACAACAGACCATTACTTCTGGAGTGAATCTAGTAGATGACTCTAATTCCGCTTTGTATGCATTAAAGACGTGAAACCGTTGATATTGATGTCGGAAGGCAATCTATCCAATAATTAATAAAATAATGTTCAAATATAATAATCGCATATAAGTCGTTTTATGTAAACGACGATAAAAATCTAAAATATACCTCTTCCAATACGTAATGCGGTAACGGCACTTCATTGGTTTTGAAATGCTTCTCGTAATATGCTGTTTCCCGTAAAATGTATTTTATCCAGAAAATCGTTGCCATTGATGCTATTGGCGTACTAAAAACGTCAGATTCATTATTATATCATTGTTAGAAACATCTCAAAAGCGAAAATAGTGAACAAATCTTAAATGAAGTTCCTTACTCAATATATATCAAAAGGTCTTTTACAATAGAATTAAATTCAAGACCTATAACACCTTTTCTTGATAAAGTGGCTTGGAGTTTCTTGAGTGTTTCAAATGTCGTGTTAACTCTAGAGTCATCTATCTATTGGATAAAGATCATAAATCGATAGGAATTGCATGTTAAATAACAACACCAGAATTAAAATTTTTATTACTTTGAATAAAATGACTTTATTAAGAAATTATGTATCAAAAGAAAACAATACTCACTGTTCCATCATCTCGTTCTTCTGCAGAGGCAGCATAAGCTGCAAGATATAGATACTTTTCCTTAAGATCTTGCTTCAAATTTAAGGTTTTCTCTGATGGTACAAATGCATTATTTAACAGCCAGTCTGAAATCAAAATAATGCAATAAAAACGTTAAACTGCAGAAAAAAGTGACGAAACATTTATAATATGAATATTCGGCATGAACTTTCATTCTTACAAAGTAACTGCGGATCTCTTAGATATATAGGTGAAGGTAACGGTTCTTGTGAATATTGTTTGTGTAACTGAAAAATGGTATTAATAATGTTAATAAGTAAAAACAACAACAAAATACGACTTCGGCAAATATTCATTGATATATAGCGCTTACATTTACTATATCTCCAGGCGTCGGTGGAATACGTAAAATAGACTGCGCAATTGGTTGTGGTGGCGCCGCTATCAAATTTCTTAAGTTATCAACAAGTTCCATACTGAAAAATTGACTATATATGTTAGTGTACATTTGATGTCGGAGAACAAAAATACAACAATAAGATTAAACACTAAATACTTGTTATTAGAAACACCTTTTTCTAATTCTTTTGCTAATTTCCTTAATGGATAACCATTTCGTTCTTGAGATAAGTGTTTAATCAATGCTTGAACAAAAAGGTATGAATGTGGATGCTGAACGGCAGTTTTCTAATATATGCACATGAATACACGTAAATTTCGAATTAGTTTAAAAAAATTACAAAAAGCAATATATAATTTGAAGAGAATTGATACTGACGATTAAATCCGGCATGCTTTGTGATACTCCAGCCTCATCTGCTGTTATTAGATTATCAAATTGATCTAACAAAACTTTAGAAAACACATCAATATTTGTTGACGCTGATTTAAGGTGTTTTATTTCGTTAATATAATTTGCATCAGCAATTTTCTGCAAGATTATGATAGTTGTGTAGTCCCAATAAATATCTGATAAAATCAAATGTAATAATTATATTGAAAAAAAACTATTACCCGAATTAAAATGTTCAAAAACTGGCCTTCTGGATATTTTTCTGACAAAGCGTATATAGCTCGTCGCCAATATGAAGATTGAATTAGTGGTATTACGGGGTTTAAAGCTTGAATCTAATAATTGCAATAAAATGATCCCTACAATTTATTTATTATTATCTTTGCGAGAAGTTATTATCTACAAATAATGATAACTTACATTGTCTTTTACTACTTGATCGATTTTTACAGTATCATATTTTTCTAAAAGTATATTCATCAACGCATCTTTGCACACTGAGTCGGCTTTTGGTTGTGTATCCGAGCTCGCAAATTCATCATAAAGATCACTTAATAGTTGAATCTTTGAAGGCTCGCCAGTATAACTGTGGCAGAGAGAACCAAAGATTTGTCCAATATTTTCCACAGATTCGCTAACTAGACTTGATACTATATCTACAACATTTGGCTCAAAAATAGCATCTAAAAATATAAAATTTGAACAAAAGTTTTGTAATACAATTTCAAAACCCCAATTCTATCTTTTATTTTAATATTATGTATAGTTGCTCCATCAATGAAAAGAACATACCCGGCTTTTGTAAAGATCTTAGTAGATCCGAAGTATCAGGCGTACTTCGAGTGTAATAACGATAGTTGAGTGTTTCGGCTGGAGTTCTCGGAGAAAAAGGTTGAAAATTACCCGTTTCCGGTAACGTACTTGGAGTAAGAGAACGATAGTTACTCGTTTCTTCCAAAGTTAGCTGATTAAAAGAGTTCTGTAAGCGAAAGATTAGTATTTCAAGCCGCGGTTCAAAACGCTAATACAATACTTACTGAAGTGTATGCATGTTGTGAAAAATAATCTTGATCCAAATCTGGTTCTATTCCAGGACTGTATTGCATTGTTTGAAAAGAGAGCAGTAAACAGATAAAATAATCGCGCAAACCACACACGTACGTATCTCTGTATCTGTTTTCTGAAATCTATCACGTGATATTTATCTATGATCGTCGACCTACACTGTTTTAGTGCGGGCCAGTCGACGAAAGTCGATTATAATTGTCAAGATATTTTTAGTTTTATCAGATCGAAAATAATTTATTAATATCGATATCGATATTAACCAAAACTTTTTTAATACTGTACGTATTAAAATTGATACGTACTTTATGTGATTTCGAGGCTAAATTGTCGATCGACTAAGTCGACTAGGTAATAAAACATCAATCTAGAAAGTGATCCTTGTCCAATCAAATCGACCAAAGAAATTCAAGATGCAAGTTAGGAGAATTCTGAATCACAGAATTCGTTTTAGATCCTATAACGATAATAAGTTTGGAACGCGATCAATCTATTTTTATTAAGAGTCAGACTACGCCGATTTCGATCAACTTTACACCAATTGCGATGTAATAAAAAATATAAAGATGTCATGTGGTAAAACAAGTGATAAATCCGCGGATTTTATAAGTATAAAAATGATTATGAAAAAAAAAATCGATCTTCCTTCTATTCCATCCTCTTCTGACCGCTTAGGTAATAATGGGTAAGTTAGCCATAGAAATTGTCAATTTTTGTCAATTTTATGTTCTTCAATTAGAGAACAAAAATATATGTTCTTTTCAGTTGGAATTTTCAAGTCCTTTATTCAATAGAATAGCATTCTAGTTTGGATTTTTTGAAAATTATGGATGCAGCAATAGATTTCAGCATAAATTTGCTAATTCGTCCGCGATTTCTTAGGTAAAGGAAAGCCTAGAGGTTTACAAAGTGCACGCAAATTACGTACACATCGCCGAGAGGAACGATGGGCTGATAAACTATATAAGAAGAGGGCATTAGGTACAGCTTATAAATCATCACCATTTGGTGGTTCCTCTCACGCTAAGGGCATTGTACTTGAAAAAATGTATAATATTTATTATATCGGCAACAATACTTTTTTTAAATAATATTTGATAATGGCGTAAATTAATTATTTTATACAATTTAGTGGCGTGGAAGCCAAGCAACCGAATTCCGCTATTCGTAAATGTGTTCGTGTTCAGCTAATTAAAAATGGGAAAAAAGTCACTGCTTTCGTTCCGAATGATGGTTGCTTAAATTATGTAGAAGAAAACGATGAAGTTCTACTTGCTGGTTTTGGACGTAAAGGGCGTGCTGTGAGTATGATTAATTGTTTGTATGATTCAATAAAGAAATTTATTCATCTTTTTTTTTTTTTTTATTAGATTGGTGATATTCCCGGTGTCCGTTTCAAAGTAGTCAAAGTCTCCGGCGTGTCTCTCCTTGCCTTGTAAGTATTACTTATTTAAGTTTTATTATTGTCTGAACGATAATAATTACTTATAATTATAACTTATAGATATAAAGAAAAAAAGGAAAAACCTCGATCTTAATTATTTTTTGTGATGACATTCTTGGAATTAATAAATTTTCAAATAAATTAGATCAAAGGTTTACACACATATTTCTGTAGCGGACCATTAATAAAAAATTTAATGCGCATCTAATTTTATAAATCTGTCGATCAACTTTTCTTCGACATCACACAGTGATATGTTTATATGTAAAAATCGATATAATCTGGCAATTTGCTATTTGTCAAAATGTATCTGATAAACATATACGTAACGTGGCAGCTATATATGGAATTGACCCAAATTTATGATAAATGAAATATAAAAAGGCAAAATATTTCACGTACGAAATAAACCCATTTTTCACAAAGGCGATGCGTTTTGAGGAACCCTTTCGGTATTGCACCTGAAAAAATGTTGTGCAAACAAAGACTTTTACTAATATTCCTATGTAAGCATAATTCTGTCAAATAAGCATCAGGTGTGAATTAGTAAGAATTACTGCTAATGACCTTTTGATTCAAATATTATAGCTTGCGTTATTTGTGGATTCTTCCTTACTGCGTTCTCTCGAGTCACGTCAGTTTCTGGAGAAGAATTATCACAAGGCACAACGACACCTACTCAATCAGTGTCAGATACAAAAAGCAGCGATGGCTTATTAAAGCTAGAAGGTAAACTAAACAACCTGATCCATAACGTTACAAATTATTCTTTCGCAAGAATTTTACTAATTCTGACCCATATACATATGTAGGCGACGAATTATATGACCAAGCTTTATTTCAACTAGGGAACTTAAAGCCTTCGTCAAAAAAGCGGATTTCAACAAATAGCGAACTCGATGACACAGATCCCAACATTCTTCTTGTTATATATAAAGTTTTTGCACAAATTTTGTTCTCCATATTCGGATTACGCTCGCCATTTGCTGAACATCTGGATATAGGAAAAAAACATAACACAGAAATAAAAAACCCAAGACTAAATAGAGCTATAGAATTACTGGAGAAAGCGGCTTTCGAATTTGGACACGATGGTGCATTGTATACTCTTGGAGAAATGAATTTTGTAAGATATTTATTTTTATGTGTATAGTAATGCTAATATTTATCAAATTTCTGAAAATGTTATGTACATAAATACGTGTATCTTAGTTCGCAAAATATACTCATCCACGTAATTTGACTGCGGCTTTTCATTATTATCGAGAGTTAGCAAGTCGATCAGGAAATGCGACCGCACAACATATGGTCGGCTTCATGTACGCGACTGGCATAGGTGACGTAGTACAGCGCGATCAAGGAAAGGTAGGGCGGTCTGTGTGGTGTTGTTCTTATTATTTGCTACCATTCAGTGTTTAATAGTTCATATCTACAATTAAATCCTCTAAGGCATTATTATACCATACTTTCGCAGCTCTTGGTCATGAGACTGCAGCTGAAATGACGCTTGCGTATCGATATTTCACTGGTATCGGTGTCCCACGAAGCTGTGAGGATGCTGTGTTTTACTACAAACGTGTAGCGGATAAAGGTAGGTGTTGAATGTTGAGTATTCCTTTAAAACTAAGTACAGTCACACCCCTCTAAGTGCATCCTGTCGGGACCATAGTGAAAAAAATTAAAATTTTGCACTTAGAGAGTGTTTGCATTTATAGAGAGTAAAATATATAGGATTCTTATAAGTTGGGGCCAACCTAGATCGTGCATTTAGAGAGGTTTTACATAGTACTTGCACTTAGGGGGTGTGCACTTAGGGGGGTGCGACTGTATATATTGATTATTGATTTTCTAATACATATTGATTTAATTGAATTTAGCTATTGAATATTATAAATCTGGTCCACCTGGCGGCCGTCAGCTTCCCCCAACTAAAATAAAATTATATGATGAGGATGGCGGTGTGTACGGATATGGGGCCAGTGGGTCAGGTACCGGTTCGTCAACGAAACCTGGAGACCAAGCCGCATGGGACGATATTTTGGAATATTATCATTATTCGGCTAAACAAGGTGATATTGCATCTCAGGTATGCTAGTCAGATATAAAATAAGATAAATTTTGTCATATTTTCATAAACATTGATCCATTTATTATTTATATTATAGCTAGGTTTAGGTCAACTTTATTATCAGGGGACAAGTAATGATTAGAATTTTATTTTTTATTTTTCAAAATAAGCATTATTTATACAACATGCAATGGAATATTAACGTTATTTTTATCATTTAGAAAATATACCTCAAAACTTTAAACTTGCTCTACAATACCTCAAACAAGTCACAGACCAATATTGGCCTCCTGTTACTTCTTTGTCTGAGCCTTTATCGGCTAATACAAAACTTGCTCATGCTGCAGGACAAGCCGCAGGGATTTTAGGTTTGTTGTTTTTGGTGATTTTTAAGTAGTATTTATTTCATCTAATTTAATTACTTGTAACGATTCAAATCTCAGGGCAAATGTATTGGCGTGGAGAAGGTGTTGTTCAAAATAATAAAACGGCTCTTGAATGGTTTATAAGGGGTGCGAAAAAGGCTCGTTGTTTTCTCATTTTTATCCAATTAATGATAATTTTCTTCGTTTGATTATGTATTTATCTTAAAAAAATTGTTTTTTCTAATTATAGAAGAATCCTGCGTCTTATAATGGTCTTGGTCTGATGAATTTGGAAGGTTTGAAACACTACGACAAAGTTTTGGTTGAGAAGGTAATTGAATGCATTGCATTGCTTGCACTGTTAAATGAAATCATTATTAATTCATATTCTTTTTTATAGAACCATGAGCGAGCCATGGAATACTTTAAATTCGCGGTTGAAGAACATCCTGACGCACAAGTCAATTTGGGTCTAATGTATCTACGTATGCTGGAATTATTTTATTATAGTTATTAAAATTAATATTTTATTCTTATCAGTTATTTTATCTTCGTATACAGAAAACAATGATATTAAAAGAGCCTTCGAATGTTTTACGACAGCCGCAAGTTCAGCCCACCATCTCTTAGCATATTATTACTTAGCTGAAATATATTCGAATTCGAAAGGGCTTGCGAGTGAACAAAAATCATGTCCTTTGGCCGCTGCAGTGTGTATTTTCGTTCATTGTTTATAGTTTATAGTTTATTTCGAACACGTAATTATTCACATTGGCAAAATTCGTTAGTTCTACAAAAATGTTGCAGAACGAGGCGACTGGCTTCATTCACCATTTCCTGATGCATATTCAGCATACTCTTCTGGTAATCGTGAGGATGCGTTAATTAATTATTTAATAGCGGCGGAGAGGGGATATGAAGTCGGACAAGCAAATGTTGCTTGGTTATTAGACAAAGGTATATCATCGTTTTTTTTGCACTTATAAAACTTTTTTCCTCGCTTACCATTTATTTAAAATTAAGATAAATCATGGTGGCATTTACCACATTTGGTTCCGAAACCGGATCCATCGCGTGATAGACTGGCACTTCTTTATTGGACTCGATCTGCAAATCAAGGAAATGTTGATGCACGAGTAAAGATGGGTGACTATTATTTTAAGGGATTTGGTACCGAAGTAGATTATGAAAAAGCAGCAGCTTGTTATCAGGTCGCTGCGGAGGCGGATTTCAGTGCTATGGCAATGTGGAATCTTGGGTGGATGCATGAATATGGCATAGGAATTTCTCAAGTTTGTTACCCAATTATTTATTGCCATTCTTTGCGCTAGTTTCATAAAACAAGAATTGTAATAAAAAAAATTTTTTTTTATAGGACTTTCATCTTGCAAAAAGATGGTATGATCAGTCTTTATCGACTAATCCTGATGCGTATCTTCCCGTCACGCTATCATTAGTTAGGTTGTATTCAAGAAGTTTTTGGAATTATATTATTGGTTCTGATACAGCTAGAAGTGAGGAAGAATCATCTAAAGGACTATGGTGGAAAGATCCATCTTTCATCGAAGATGATGAAACAGGTGGGTCTGTAGAACAGATTCAGACAATGACAAAAGATGATGAGCAAAAGAAATCAGACGATTATTTAAGTTCTCTTTATCCGGATATTTTTGACGATGCTGATGAAAGAGAAGCTTGGTTTGAAAGTTTAACGATATTATTGATGTGTATTATGGTAGGATGGTTAGTTTATATTCGACAATTACGATGGAACCATGCCCAACCGGTTGGTGCTGCACCAGGTTAATGTTAATCCTGAGCTATAATTAATTATATTAATTAGAAAATATTTGCTAGCTATGTTTTAGAAATTTTACTAATTTTTTCAGCTACATTTAGACTTATTGATTAATGTCATTCTTTGTGGTTGTTAGTTATTATATATAATAAAAAAAAAATTAATTGTCGGAGCAAGATGGAGGACACTCTGAGGGAAGGTAATGGCACAAATTAGTAAATGTGTTCATTTCCGCTTATATGTTAGGTGTAACGATTAATTGCTCTGGACATAACAGTTTCCTAATTTTAATGATTTTAAGAATTGTATATTACAATTTTAATCGTTATTTAATTGCTTTTACACTAATAAACAATTTTATTTCGAAAGGTTATTAGATTTGACAAAATCATGTAATATCATTTGATTAAAATTGGTTGGGTTAGCTAAAATGTACAGCGCTACCCCGGTTTTTTACAAGAAATTCAAGTTAAATAGTGCCTGGGTATTGTGTAAAGAGAGGATACTATAGAAGGGTATCCTGAAGATAGTATTAATCATGTGAATAGGACTTAATTAGGCATCGCATGCTGTGATGTGCTTATACATCGCATTTTAAGAATTGACCAATTAAATTTGAGATCAGGTGTAACATGCAAATTAATTTCGTGTAACAAAAATAAAGAAATTTTTAAAATTTTGAAATGGCTCGAAATACCGTCTATGAAACTGCTTTTTGAGCTCTAACAAAAAAAATTTCTCGCAAAATTTTGGTATATATTACACTTTACTCTAACTGCTAACTACTAACCCTAACCCTAATTCTAATTCTACTCTAGTATTCACGTAAATAAAATTCTTGTTACACAGATCTACAAAAAATATACATGCGATAAATTAGCACATCACATAGTGCAATGTATATATTTATTGCACGGGTCTTATGTGACAACCTGTGCTTTTTTCATTTACTTATTGGCACGGGATTGTTACATTAGACATCATGCAATAGGATAGTTATTGTATGAGTATATTGAATAACTCAGTTACACACACAGGTTCATATTTAAATCTTGTGCCTTCGGCACAGAATATGAACCCATGTGTAACTAGGTTATTCACTATATACCTATACAATAACTATAAATTATCCAATTTTAAAAAAATAAAAATTTTAATATTTGCAATTTTATTTTATTTGTTGCTATTTTATTTAGCATTTCTTTTTCTATTCACCTTTTTTTATATTTTTAAAAACTTGTTTATTCGTCTCCAGTTAAGCAAACATAAGTTTATTATTTATAAACTAAACTTTAGACAAATATTATTTAGTTAAGCAAATATTAATTATAATTTTCAAAATGGATTTACAATTTAATGATTTAATATCAGAAGCATTAAAAGTTAATGATTTACCAATATTAGAATGCTGCTTGATTGATAATATTTGATACAGTTTTGATAATCATCAGCTCTACTATATTAAAGAGACAATAAAGTTAGAGTTAAATGTTAAAAAGATCAAAGTTGTTATAAAATGAAGATGTGATATTAATATAGATAGAAAATTGAAAAGTTCAAAGATTGTTATAAACAATTATAATTTTAGCAAAATTCATAATGTTTCTTCATTATTGAGAATGAATATAATAGTTTACAGGATAAAGTAGTCCTAGGTAGGGTGTGAAATCTATAGGTGTCACAAAATCTAGCATATGAATAGTGAGTTATACCTTGGTTAAATAAGAGATAGCAGGCCGGTTGTGACCAGAGAGTTTAAATAGATAATCACCTAGTTGGGTTGCAGGTATAGTAGCTAGTGTAGAACCTCGGGCAGACTACTTAAATAAGCAACCAAAAGTTGCAGGTATGGCTAGTCGTACTCTCACTTATAAAAGTCAGAGAGCTTAAATAGATAATCTCCTAGTTAGATTGCAGGTATGGTGGCTAGTGTAGAACTTAGGCGGACCACTTAAAATAGACAACCAAAAGTTGTACATGTGGCTAGTTGTACCCTCATTATAATTGTAAACATTGTTAATTATCTAATAAAAAGCCCCTGGCTATAGAGATCACCTTAACACCGAAAAAAAAATACAATAGTTTACAAAAATAAATGTTTATATTTTGGAGATAAATATTACTAGCTTATTTATATTTATTTTATATATATATTTAATTAATTTAATAAACCAATAAAATCAATTTGTTATTTTTACTAAAATTATAAAAGAACCCAAAATTGGCCTATTTTAAATATATACAAACAAAATAGTTAAAAATTTTATCCTGATTTGCGATTGGTTTAGAGGTAAAAAATTAAAAAATTAAAAAATTAAAAATCAAATATGTATTGTAAAAAATAATAAAAATTACAAATATTTTTAAGTAAAATTAACAAAAAATCAAATAATAATTTGCAATCTAAGATATTATAAATTATTAAAAAAATATATTTGGTGTGCAAGTAAATATGAAAATATATACTATGTTATAACTAAAAATTTAAAATTTCATCAAATACTTCATTCTGAATAGCCAATGATTAATTATATAAACAGATATAGTTTAGACAATTGAGAAAAAAATTTACAAAAAGCAACTTATTCAATAAATATATTAATTGATAATCTGCTACTTAACAAAAGAATACATATTATTACAATGCTATAGCTTTCTTAGTATAAATATAGCAAAGTAACAAGGTTACCCAATGCAGTGATAAACTTTATAAATATACATGGGGTAGACATGAAGTATATACTTTAACTTCACAGCAGAAGACAAACAGTTTGAGATAATAACAGTATATAGATAATAATATTTATTAATAACAATTCATGATAATAACCTTGCCTGTAGGAATTACCCTAAAGGGGAAATATCACACTTTATAATTAAAGAAGAGTAAGAGGGTGGTGCTAATTTCTATAAGAGAGTAGGAAACTCTAACTTGGGTAGAAAAGACAAAGGCTTCCTTTTTATAACTTTTCTATAGATAGAAATATAATGGTATAATTGCTTAACTATGCAGAGTAGGGTTCGAGACACAGGGGCATGGGCATGCCTTGGAAGCATGCCTATGGGCATGCCACTTGGCCGTTAGGCATGCCCTAGTCATGTGATATGTGTGTTGTATCTGATTGGCTAGCATGTCATAGTGAGGTCATCAGAGTTGT